AAAGGAAAAAGGACCTATATATACGCTAAAACCTGGCTTTTATATTTTTTTTTCCAGCATTTACTACCTTGTAGGCTTCTTCTGCTTCAAAGGCCAGTTGGTCCATTGGTGACACCTCTGGCATTCAATTATCTATTCTACTGAGATGTTGAGATGTTTCGCTCAGCAGCATCTGAAGAGTGCAGTAAACTACATCTGCCATAATAAAGCAGATATAAAAACATGAGAATTGCCCCCCCCCCCCCCAGCCACTCAGCGTAGTAACAGCAAGAAATGCAATTTCACACATGGTCATTTTTATTGTACTTTTAGTAATTTCAGTCAGGTATTTTCCCCTTGAAAGTCTGATCCTTCTGCCTATTCCCTTACTTCGGCTTTTCAAATTGCACCTTGCTTAAAAAGCAACCCTCTGCAAAGTTCAGGTTCTTGTTACAGAGTATAATGATCTTCAATTTTATCCACCTCCCCAATTCAACTATAATTCTGCAGAATATCAGGATTTTAGCTGGAATATTACATAGCCAAGCACCTGTGAATTTTTAGTCAAAACTCTAAATCCATATCAATGGGAGCCAGATTTTGCAAAACGGAAGTTACAATGTCCTCTGTTCAACTGGTAGAAGAACAAGTCTGTATTATTATTATTATTTTGATTTTGTTGAGCTGTAGTGAAAATAATAAGCATATGTTGAACTGCTGCAGGCTAGTAAAGAAAATTTCAGATTAGCCATAGACTCAGTAGGATGAGGGAATAACAGGGATCAGCTTCATGATGTGGCCATGAGCGTAAGTAAGTGTTTAATACTTCTATAACTAAAATAGCATTTTGCAAACCTAGGAAAAGCTGAGAAAGCTCTAGGTTTCCATCTTGGCTATTGTAAAGAAACTATTGCTGTGTGACTGTGAGCAGGTTCCTCAGTTTCCTCCTTGGTGGCTGGATCTACACTGCCCTATATCCCAGGATCTGAGCCCAGGTTATCTGCTTTGAACTGTGAATTATATGTGTTTGATAATCTGGGATAAGCAGACTATCTGGGATCAGATCCTGGGTTATAGGGCAGTATAGAACCAGACCTAGTTAGGCTTTGCCTTGCATTGTTGTATTGTGGGAAACTTACATTCAGGCTACTAGAATCCTGTGACTGGTCACAGGTGGGAGGAAGGAACTTAGGAATAACTGTTTTGCAAGTGAGGTCCACCACTAAAATGACAACAATACCAGGGATGGTGTGCTCACCAAGAAGCCCCCAGTGTAGATGTTCTGCTGCTGGTAGGAGGAGCAAATGAGACTGTTTGGTTGGTGTCTATTAGGGTTTGCCATAGATATCCATTCCAGGATCCTATATTCCTTTGTTCCCTTGATGTTTGTGTGTATTTGTCTTCAAATCGCCTGTTGGCTTACAGCAACATTTAAACAAGTTGGTCTGACAATTCCTTTTCTCTAAAATTTAGCTTGATATGATATTCCCAGAAACTTAGCCCTGAAATAGACCAGCACAGGTCTTGGCATACTTGTTCCTTTCCCATTAGAGCTGCTAAGAAAGGGAAAGAAAAATTCTGCTCCTACTCCTCTTGCTTTCATCAGAGTGGATCATTCTGCTTTCTTTAGCTAAGAATCTTCCTTCCTGTTTCTTGGTAGGAGGTTGGACTGGATGGCCCATGAGGTCACTTCCAACTCTATGATTCTCTCTATAAAGATGTCCCTCTGTTGATTGGTTCCTAGAATTGCCTGCTTACTGTTCCTTCTTCTAGTCCCACTTCTCTTATTCCTATGCATATCCCCCCCCCCCCCAAGCTTCTGCTTCTCTTATTGGAACACTGACAAACTAAAATGGCAAGTGATAGCATCCTACCTAAGCAGATGTGCAGGAACCATGCACGCAGAAACAACACCTTTTCTCTCTCCAAGCACAGCAGTTCCAACTTTAATCCTTGAAACACATTTTATTTCATCCCAATTATTTTGGCTCTTATTGTCCTTGTTTAAAAGTGAATGCACAGCAGCTGCTTGCAAATTAAAATGGCTGGCTTCATGCAGCAGGGAGATGGAGCAATTCCTGAGACAGTACAAGGAGAAGCTTTAAGAAGCAAATTTTTGTAAGACCTATTGTTTTCTCTGGTAAGCACTTGAACATATTCTGTGATAGCCTTTTCCCCATTCTGTTTCTCTGCCAAGGAATCAAACCACTCTAATCTCTCTGTCCTTCATCTTTACCTCTTCATTTCAGTGGCCCACATCACCATATTACGGGTGATGTTTGTTGTTTATTTGTTCAGTCACTTCCGGCTCTTGGACCAACCCACGCTAGAGCTCCCTGGTGCCCGTCATGACCCCCAGCTCCTTCAGAGTCAAGCGAGTCACTTCAAGGATACCATCCATCCATCTTGCCCTTGGTTGGCTCCTCTTTCTTTTTCCTTCCATTTTCACCAGCATCATTATCTTCTCCAAGCTTCCCTGTCCTCTCATTATGTGACCAAAGCACTTCATCTTTGCCTCTATCCTTCCCTCAGGTGAGCAGCCAGGCGTTATTTTCTGAAGTATGGATTGGTTTGATTTTCTTGCAGTCCAAGGCACTCTCAGAATTTTCCTCCGGAACCACAGTTCAAAAGTGGCTATCTTCCTTCGTGCAGCCTTCCTTATGGTCCAGCTCTCACACCCATAGGCTACTACAGGGAATACCATTGCTTTGACTATGTGGATCTTCGTTGCCAATGTGATGTCTCTACTCTTCACTATTTTATCAATATTGGTGATATGGGTGATGTAAGAACATACTTTCTTGAGGAGGGGGCTTCCTACTGAGAGCACACATCTGAAACAGTATTTTAAAGCTACCACCAAAGCTTTAAACATTTTTTTGTCTGAAAATTGTTATTTTCTGCTATAAGAAATGGCGGGGGTACAAGAAGCTGGAGGGATTCAGTGGTGTTTTTAGTGGTAGTAGCAGACTCATCGGCCAGCTCCCACTTACCATGTGAGGAGATGAGAGAAACCTCCCACAAATATAGTAAAACATCAAAACATCCAGGTGTCCCCTTGGGCAACGTCCTTGCAGATGGCCAATTCTCTCACACCAGAAGTTTCTCAAGTTGCTCCTGACATGAAAAAAAAAACAATCAAACAAACAAAACCAGACTCATCTAATACAATATATATCCTGTGGATGGCACTGTTCCCACCCCTGCTGTGTATCTCGGATCTTCTATAAGAAATCTGGGATTACTGATGCCAAGCTGAGGCATGAGTCTTCTGTCAGTTCAGCTTCTGGGACTGCCTTTGGAAGCTCATGACTACCTCTCAACTTGTGTCTGCCATTTTGTTATTGAGAAGACTGACATACGAAACACTTCTGCACATCCTTCTTCTTCTTCTCCCCCCACAACTGCCCCATTAATAGGGATCCCTCTCTCAATTTGCTTTATTGAGAAGTGTCAACAGATTAGTGGAGAATCCCTGTGCGCAGACAAAAAGCTGCTACAAAAGGCATTAGGCTTTCAGTATTGGATTACCACGTGGCCACCTGTCAACCAACTCTGTAAATGTATCTCTCTTTGAACTGGCTTTCACATTGCAAGTCTGCGAGGTGAGGCACGCTTGTTGCTAAATGACTTTTTCAGCTTCCTGCTTTCAGGCCTTTTTTTGTTTGTGGGGGGGGGGGACACTAAAGGACTCTAGAGGGAGGATTAGAACTGTTTGAACAAGAACTTTAATGTAATAAAGTCTTAAATGGTTAGTGGGTAAATCAGGCCAATCCATCTACAGACTAAGTAGATTGCTTTACCAACACAAGGCATCTTGTGGAAGAAATATTGACAGAAGTCTTGTGGCCAATTTATTTCTCTTAGACCAAGATGGTTCCGGAATAGAATTCCATTGCCATCTGAATGCATGTGTGCAAGGTCATGTATTTTCTCCAAATAACACTATATAACAAAATTTGTCCCTGGTGGTACAGTGGGTTAAACCGCTGAGCTGCTGAACTTACTTACTGAAAGGTTGACGGTTCGAATCCGGGGAGTGAGGTGAGTTCCCGCTGTTAGCCCCAGCTTCTGCCAACCTAGCAGTTTAAAAACATGCAAATGTGAATAGATCAATAGGTACCACTCTGGCAGGAAGATAACAGCACTCCATGCAGTCATGTGGACACATGACCTTGGAGGGATCTACGGACAACCCTGACTCTTCGCCTTAGAAATGGAGATGAGCACCAACCCCCAGAGTCAGACATGACTGGACTTAATGTCAGGGGACAACCTTCACCCTAAAGATATAAATCTTCATAAATTTCACTCTAATCGAATATTTTACATTATTGAACTCCCTCGCTTTTGCAGAACCTTTTTCATTTAGACAGGCTCTTGACAATTAACTAATTGCTGTGCCAATTGATGGTGTTTGTGGTAGATTTCTGTTATCATTATAGAAATGTTCAATTCATTTTGGACTTTTTGGCATGGCACTCTGTTAAATAATAATAATAATAATAATAATAATAATATGCCACCATCTCCCTAAGAGGACTCGAGTGGCTTACAAAGGCACTCCAAGGTGCAGCATATAACCTAAATGGTACATGATATAAGATTATTTGATATAAGAATGAATTCTAGTAAATTATTTGAATGAGACAGTAATTATAGAATTCAGTATTAATGTTTTTCAAAAATAAAATGGAACTTTAAAAAATATTGTTACATTAAATGCTTCAAAGCAGTGTTAAATTAGTGATATTTATTTTAAACAGGGTTATTTATTTAACTGTTATATATGATCATTTTTTTTAGCTGTATTTTCTTCAGTTTGTATTGTGAGCTGCCTTGGGCTCCATATTGGGAGAAAGGTGGGATCTAAATGAAATAAATTAGTTGGAAATAATGTTGTCTTTCCACCAGGCTGAGCAGATTGTCTGTCATTGTCAGTTCTGAGAATGGAGAAAGACAGTTGTAGTCTATCCCTTCTGTTTCTAACCAGTCTTCCTCCTGCTTTTCTCTTTTACCAGGGAGCTGATGCCAAGAACTCTTGATGGGCAGATCACCATGGAGAAAACACCCAGCTACTTTGTCACGAAGGAAGCACCCGCTCGCATCTCTGCCATGTCAAAGGACACCAAGCTCATTGTGGTGGTGAGAGATCCTGTTACCAGAGCCATTTCTGACTACACACAAACACTGTCCAAGAAACCTGACATCCCCACCTTTGAGAGCCTGACCTTCAAAAACAGGACTACAGGCCTTATCGATACCTCCTGGAGTGCCATCCAAATTGGTATTTACGCCAAGCACCTGGAAAACTGGCTCCTATATTTCCCCATTGGGCAAATCCTTTTTGTCAGTGGAGAGAGGCTGATCAGTGACCCGGCTGGTGAGTTGGGTCGCGTCCAAGACTTTCTGGGTCTCAAGAGGATCATCACGGACAAACACTTCTACTTCAACAAGACCAAGGGTTTTCCCTGCCTGAAAAAGGCTGAAGGCAGCAGCAAGCCCCACTGCCTGGGCAAAACAAAAGGGCGGACCCACCCCAGTATTGACCAGAAAGTGGTCCAGCGACTGAGGGAATTCTATAGGCCCTTCAACATGAAGTTCTATCAGATGACGGGACATGACTTTGGCTGGGATTGATCCCTAATGCAGAAGCATGTGTCAGAGTTAATCCCACCATTCAGCTTGCTTCTCCCTATATCTGTAGATAGGTCTATATGTAAAATGTACAGAAATCTATTTTATAATAATTTATTTTTAATTCATAAGCAATTAATTCACTAAGCTGCCTAACCACACTATAGTCCATAGCTGTGTTTTCTTTTGTTTTTAACATTCCACAGTGTTGATTCTTGCTATGCTCTTGCTCCTTTGGTTGCCTGATTTGGTTTGTAGTGGAAAGTGCTTCCAGTTATCATCCCAGGAGACATATTGCATCATAAAAGGGGAGAAAGGCAGGTAGGTGAGGGAGAATTGAGAAAAGCACAATCTTTTTTCCCCTTTCTGATACGGGTACTAGGCATGTATAATAGTATTGTGTGGCCCTTCAAGTCACATCTCCTGTCTCTTTGTAGATCAAGCCATTTGCAATTCAATTTCTGTTGATTATGAATCTCAGATTTTGCAAATGGTTTATAAAACTCAGGCCTGGAGGCTGCCTTTTAGGCCACAATATATAATTCGCTACTTTCCAGCCATATTGCTGCTGCTACTTTTTCCAGGTCCATTGGCTTTGGTGTATAGAGGTCTCCCTTGCTCCTTATAGAGCAGGTATAGGTCACAGATGTTCTTGGATTGCAGCTCCCATCAGCTACAGCTAGCACAGTCAATGGTTAGTCAAAGTTTGGAAGGAATAAATTACAACTGCCACGGTTATTGATAATGGGTTCCTTTCGGTGCATGTGTGTTTGTCTAACAAGTTTCTAAGGCAATTATATATTTAAAATAGAATAAAAAGTGGGAAGAAAGTTGCTTTCCTGGTTCAATTAGTAGCATTTTCTATTATAAGATATTATTGTTTAATGACACTTTTAGAGACATCTTGACATGGTAACCCCCTGTTTCCTTAAAAAGGAACAGGAATTTTAAAATGATAAGAGGTACAAGAAGCAACACACTATGTTCTTCCTTATGTATTACAACAGGTAGAATGCATGTATAGTATTTATTATAGCCATAGACCTGTGCATGAAAGAACAGAAGCAAAAATAAAGAAATAAAAATGTACCTTGGCATATAAAACCTAGGTACTTGAGGACATAACAATGAATTATTTTTAGCAGTCCTAGTAATGAATTATTCTGAAAAGTAACTTTCCAAGATGTAGGTGAGAAAAATGGGATTTGGTGTCCAAGAACTTCTGGCAATCTATATCATGTTCTAGAAGCTACTAGCTAGAATTATATGGTTTGGATGTCTATAGTATCTCTTCTCTTTTTAAAGCAGATTCCCTGGGCTGAGAACTATGCATGTTTTGTCCAGTTTTAACTCTTTCATGTTGAAAAAAGGGAAATGTCTAACAGGAACAAATCAAATTGCGCACATTTTTTCCAGGGATTTTTTTGGAGCTAGAGTCTCAAGCCATGTTGTCTGAACTTGCAGAGTGAATCCCTCTGCTGCCTCTAACTTCACCCAACACTAATGTTATTAGATGAGAAAAGCCAATGTACATGGCACATCATCACACTTTGGCTAGATAGTGCCTCTTCCACACATACAGTTCACAACAAATAATTTTGAACTGAACTCCAAAGCAAAGCACTGCAAATTAACCCTTGGGTTCTGAGCTGAACGGATTTTCTTTGGTTAAGCATATATAGAATGGTATATGCAAGTGTCCATGTGAAACCTATTGGGAAGGGCAACAGAAATGAAGTTGTATCATCTGTCCAAATCTCACCAAAGAATTTCACAACCTGCAACGGGGGATTACTGCCAGTGTACCTATTTCATGCCAGACCGGGGTGGTTGGTTGTGTCTGGTTAATGCTGGGTGAATTGCAGCAGATTTGCATCTCATCGTTTTGTAGTGAAATGTCACAGGAATGTCCAAGCTCATGCCCTAGAGATTAAAGGCAAATTCTTAGAAAACAGAATTCCTAGCATGCAGCCATGAATTGAGTTACCTGACTGGAGGTTAGAAAATTATTTTACAATCATGAGATGCTGAAAGCCATTATAATTCACTAGTGGTTGGATAAAGGTCTAAATCCAAGGGGGAAAACCCAGCATTCTATAAGAGCTCATTTCTTTAAGTATGTTGTTGTATCTCTCCTTCAAAATAATTTTCTGTGCTCTGTCTGGGCATAATGACATATTTATCTAGAGAGATAGTTGCCACATGTGACTTGGGGCCTATCTACACTGACTAGAAACATGGAATTGGCCAAAAATCACTCCTGGACAGCCACACAATGTTTAGGGACTTTGAGCAAAATGCATTTGCAGAGAATACTTTGGAGCTTCCAAAAAAGCTCCAGAATAGCTCCACACTTTGAGCTTCTCAAAGAGCATGCGGAGGGATGATCTACATGGTCACCTGAATCCAGGGAAGCTATTTGAGAAATTGTGACTTAGATCTCACATTGCAAAAAAAAAAAGAAAGAAAAGAATGTATCATGCTTCACCCAGGTCATTCCATATCTTCCTTGGCATCTGTCAAGCCCCATGAGAAGCTGGTGCTACTTACTAGTAGGGAGAGAAAGGAGGAAGAGGCAAGTCAGCCAAGGTACATTTGCATCTGAAACACGTCCTTCTTTTTCTTATTCTTGGAGCCTAATCTAGCTGCTCATGGATGGTCACTCTACTCTTCCCTAATAAGAGTAAGCAGCAGTCCCTTCCAGTTCTTAACAGCTGAATCTTTATTTATATGCAAGTTGTGGATGGGGAGCAAAGGTTGCTCACTTTTGTCAGCTTTGTATTAAAAATGCACCCTCCAGTTTGACTGTCTTTGGACCTATGATCACCCTCTTAATTTCAGTAAAGCAACAACATAAGAAATGAGCAGTTTGAGCCATACTTTCCTACAGACCAATATGCAACACGTGAAATTGGTTCTCACCATATTCTCAGACACCATTTGGATTCTGTTTTACTTATTCAGTGAACATTTTCATGTTTGGTGCCATGCAATGTCATTTCTTTGAAAAATCTGTTGGTTTGCTATTTCTCATTTTGTGTATGTATCCCCCCCCCCCTCCCCACATTTCCTTTTGAAAACCTTTCTCTTGTTTTGCTTGTTGCACTTCAAAACTTTGTGCTTGAACCTATTTATTTCTCCTCTGAGCAGATGTATATCCAGATGCCTTTCTCAACCGCACAGTTCACATTTACTTTATAAAATAGGTGCTGTATCTACAGGGCCTCTGAATGGTTTTTATGAAATAAAAGTAATAGTATGCTGTTAACCCACTGTTAAAATATTTTAAGTAAACTGCTAATCCTGCTTGAGTGGCCCATACAAGGGAAACCTTATGAAATGAATTAATTTTTTTTAAAAAGCCTTACCTAAACATTATGATAACCAGTATGGCCACCATACTGTACTGTACCGTATGGCACTTGAACTGCTGACATGAGCCTAAAGACAATGTCATCACCATGTTTTCCCAAGAACGTACACAATCAAAACTCATCGGTGTGGTTAGACCTTTTTTTTTTTACATTGTAACATTAATTTATGGCTGAGTTCCATTCAGCAGTGCAGTATGTTCAGGTATTAGCAATATTTTTTTTGTGTTTGTTGTAACATGGTACATCTTAGACTAGTATACTTGTAAAGGAAAATGGCAAGCAAAAACTGTAAATTGAGTATTTTGTGGTATGTACAACACAAATTAATTTTACACAGAGGTTTCTAGGAAAAGGAATTCTGATTCATACTATTTCTTTGGAGAAATAAAATATATTTTACCAAATTGTAGAGGCAGTTTTATTTCCTCTTCAGTGTGTGGGTAAAGGAAGAGTGTGTCTCCGCTGGACTAGGACTGGTCTTGGGAATCACTTCCACTGTAAAAGGTGCTATTCTAACCAGGGTAAGAAAGACATTGTCATGGTGACAAGTAACTTAGGTAAAGGGTGGGTGATTTGGGGTTGGCTGGGTGGCAGTTTTTTTCCTTGGGTTCATGCAGACTACCAAAAATACCTGCCTCTCAACCTAGAAATTTGAAAGTTCATTTGTGGCTTTGAAAATTTGGCTTGATCTGATTTTATTTATTATTTATTTTGGATATTTGTACCCCACTCTTCTCTACCCCCCTGGAGGGGGGGGGGGGTCAGGACTGATAGGAAGTATAATCCAGAGGACGCCATAATTTTGCTCTGCTATGTTTATAGACAGGTACTGTGGGTACTTCTATACATACAAAGTCTGTCATCTCCCTCTCTTTGTCTCTTGTCTTGGCAAACCCTCCCTCCCTGTCTCAACTCATAATCCCTCCACCCATAACCTTCCTTCCCTCTCCTCCCACCTCATTTATCCTCACTGTCTATCCACCCAACTTCGTATCTCCTTTTCAAAGACTGCCATGGACTTCCTCTTACTCCCCCCCCCCACTTGATGCCACAGAAGCTAAAAAGCCCCCACATATTAATATGCTGAATATCAAAAAAATGGTTTGAACCTCTAGTAACAATGCTTGTTAGGTGTGAAAAATCAGGATGCTGAAAAGTGCTTTAAATACAGACAAATCCAGAGGCATATATGGTTTTCCCTCTCTCTAACTATATGCAGTGGTTTGATGTCATCTGGTTATAGGTTCCTTGCAGGTTGTAATTTCCTTTTTCTTTAAGAAGTTGTCACGGTCTTATTTATTAAATGTCCCAAAATTTTGACTTCCTTTTGGATTCTGTCAAGACTCCACAAACACTTCAATATTATCCAGTGAAATTAAATGAAGGGAAAGAAAAATTGTTAACTAAGGACACATTTTGACTATTTGCTGTTGTGGTGTCCCATATTCCATCTGACTGAGGACAGTGTTTACTTTTAATATGTTTTCTATTTGAAAAAAACTTGTAGTCTAGCTTGTGGATGAAAATATATCAGAAGAGAGAACAAAGCTTGCAGCAGTTGATCAGCAATTAGAATTTGGAAAGCAAAATGCATGACGGCACATGTTACCTGGACACCTTCTGTATCTATGGGTCTTGTAATGTAGTTCCATTTAACCATATCCAACAAAATTTGCCTTCTCTAGGCATTTTCTAGTTCCTCCAGCATGAATCTTTGATGTTCATGGGGCTTTCCTTCAATAGGGTTCCTAGTATCTATAGTTTTACGTATCTACATGAAATCTGGGAATGTATGGATAGGTAAAGGTAAAGGTATTCTCTTGACATTAAGTCCAGTTGTGACTCTGGGGGTTGGTGCTCATCTCCATTTCTAAGCCAAAGAGCTGACATTGTCCATTGACACCTCCAAGGTCATGTGGCCAGCATGACTGCATGGAGTGTCATTACCTTCCTGCTGGAGTGGTACCTATTGATCTACTCACACTTGCATGTTTTCAAACTACTAGGTTGGCAGAAGCTGGAGCTAACAGCGGGAACTCATGCCGTTCCCTGGATTTGAAACTACAACCTTTCGATAAGCAAGTTCAGCAGCTCAGTAGTTTAACCCACTGCACCACTATAGGTATGGGAGTCATATTGTATAATAGTTGTTTCTAAGTTTATATATAAATTAGTACTTGCAAATTACACACACATTTGGATTTTTGAGGGGTTGGAGAAATTATAAAATAATAATTCTGCTGGCCTACTTTTGCTCATATTTGCCCTACTCAGTAGACTCAGGCAAAAATAAACTGCCGGGGGCCCTTTTAGCTTTTTCTTCCACATTAACAACCTCTGACACATTGTTTCCTGCTTTCCACCTGTGAAATGTAGGGTATGAATTCTCAAATTCTCTGGAATAATTACTTGAAGTTTATTTTTGCTCTGCCTTTTAAAAAGGAAAATAACTGCTCATATTCATTCACACAAACAAACATATACACCATCACAATTACATTTGCAAATTAATGTGGGAAGTATAAGTGGGTAATCGTCTATTTTCCCCACTAAAGAGACTTGCTTCAGAACCATTTTTCAGTCAGTATTTATGCTTGATAGCATTAAGAAACTACATTAGTTGAAGTCTGCAATTTTGGCTGTAACCTTAATGGTTTCTTTTTCGAGAAATGTACTTCAATATAAA